AAATAAAAAATGAGTGACTTTATATGCAATAGCCCTTCAGAGCACAATGGGATGACTTTTCATCGATTAGTTATTCATCAATACATTACTTTGTGTGAATTGGACTACATGTAGTTCTATTGGAAACCCAGTTATTGATACTTGACATTAAATATAAATGAATAGTACTGAAAAATACATGACTGAACAGCCCTTCCTCAATCTAAAGTAGGTTATCTCCATGCAGGGTCGGCAATAGGGGGTTATCGGACCATACTTCACCACGTTGCTCAGTGCGGGGTTTGTGAATGTTACCCAGGACCAGTTGAAACATCACTCGCCACTGATGTTCGCCGTGGTCGGTATTAGAGCTCGGCTTGCCGTGCCCCGGTTCATAGCATGCACGGTGCAAATCACTGCACCACCGCCATGCACATGACGAATGGCACACCCACACCGCACAAAGACAAAGATCCCCCAAGTAGCCTTCAACGTGCTGTTGGGAGAGGTTGCTGTTCGCGACGGCCGGCACCACGCTCGGCCGTCTTTGTCTCCCCAGTGCTGACGTTTACAACTCCACAAGAGCACGCAGGTACTCAAACACGCACGCACACCGCCACCTCGTGGCCAGATGTCTGCGATGCAGCGTCATGTTAAAAGTCCGGCTTGCTGATGAGACCCAGGGAGATCGAAACTGGACCACAGTGTCGTGTTTAAGACACGCTGGAAGTATATTTTTGGATCTTTCGGTAAAGTCACGTAGAAGGGAAATAATAAAACAATAATAAAACATAATAACATTCTCACAACGTTTCGGCCACAACACAAGCAGCCGTCCTCAGGTGAAGAACAGAGCTGAAGGAAATACAGCGTCTTAATGACGCTGGACGCTGTCTTCTTCACCTGATGACGGCTGCTTGTGTATGTGGCCGAAACGTCGTGAGAATTTTATTATATTATATATATTTTATTATTTCCCTTCTACGTGACTTTACCGAAAGAACCAAGAATATGAACCCCTCCAGTCACGAAAGATTTAAATAAAAAAATATATCTAGTTCATTTTTAATGGTATGTTTTTTAAGTGCTTCGTTTTACCTATCCTATGCTCTGCACTCCTATCGTGTTTGTTGTACTGTTTGTTGTTGTAGGCGGCAGAAGGCAGCAGTCAGTGGCTCTGGATGAAGAGGAAAGACCCCAGCTGGGCCCCAAAGTGAGAGGGCCAGGAGGTATGCAGTCAACAATGCTTGACTCAGGGAGGAGGACGCCCCTGCCATGCATAGTCCCATGGGATGTTGGCTACCAACAACAAGGCAACTCCTATGACTAATTGGGAATGGGACGCAAGCGTAGGATTGATCACCCTGTCGCTGGCCGCCTTTGGGGAGGGTGTATAGTATGAAAGGCCGAAACACCCTAGGAACCAAAGGGTCACTACTGACGATGCGCTCCCCAAATTTCACCAGGCTCACTGTTCATGAACTCTTGGAAGTGCTTGCACAAAGGATTGTAACATCTCATCCTGTGTTCTTTGGAATCTGAATATGACCCGGCCCTACTGGACAGTTGTGAGAAAGACCTTCACAGCTCATCGGATTCCTCCACTATAAATACAGATTCTGATTCTGAGCGCTCCATCTGTAGCTCGTAGCGCACGATCTGATCTCATCGCTCCATCTCCGCGCCGGATGTCATCTCGAGCTCGTTCTCTCCTTTGGCGGCCACTCTGTAGTTAGTCTCGACCATCGGCCACCCTCTCTTCTGGCGACGCCTCCTGCCCCCCCCCCCACCCCCCTCGTATCAGTCGACACGACGTCTCCAACTTGCGCATGTTCTCTAATCCACGTGTTTCTCTTTCCGCTTCTCTCTAATTTAATCTGTGCACGGAGCAGTATGCAGGCCTAATTGGCACATTCCCCCGACGTTTCAGGCAATGGGCCATGCCCAGCATTAGAGGCAATGGCTCTGCAATGACGAGCTAAACACGGCGAAGTGAGTACTGTAGTAGAGGACAGTGCAACTGCAAAGCCAATTGTTGTACCGTACTATGCTGCAACGTCTATGCTCCCAGACTAGACCTCCGATCCTCTGGATTGCATGTCCAGTGTCCTAAGTATTGCACCAAAGGTCAAGATCACAGAGACTCGAGGAGTTTCATCATGGATGTCACCCGTACTCAGGAGTGAGCAGGAAAGTCTGAAGGCAATGTTATATCATCGTCAGGGAGCAGCGCAGTTCAATTCAGAAGGCAGTCAATAGTCGGCTGGCACCATCAAAGACGATATTCTTGCGCTTGATGACAGCAAATATGTTCAGCAGATGAATGCCAACGGCAATGTCTGCTAGCCGCCACGACAGGGCTGCAGGTACTTTTGCATTTCCTCCGAGACCATCCTTTGTAACGTGTTTGGAGTTAAAACATTTCAAGTCAATTTACGATCGGACCAGGAGGTGGCAGTACAGCAAGGCGGTTCAGGTCACAGACTCGATGGATCCTTGACCCCTGGTCAAGTTCAAGTTCAGTACCGAGTGCCTCTCTCCGCACAATGTAAATACACCCCGTGTGTCTGTGCAGCGTCTTTTAGACGCAGTCGCATTTCGACTCTGCTCTGCAAATCTGACCGTGTCCCCGTCCGTTTTCGTAACGAATGCATCATAGGGTCGCACTCATTACATACACACAAAGTGCTCGGCACAAATGAACCACAGGAACTCGCTGATCTCATCAAGGAGAAAACTGCGGTCGTACTCGCAGCGGCTTTTGGCTCACCGTCGAACAAAGGCGGCGGTCACCACATCGCGCGGCGCTTTCAGATGCGCTTCTGCGGCCGTCTGGAACGCTCTTCCGTCCAATATTAGGACGCCACTGGGCGCTATGCACATTTACATCCAGATTTGAATCTCGTTTCTTTAGAACTGCTTTTTTGTGTTTGGTTTGCTGGCCTTCCCCCGTACCTCCAATGAGCATGGCCGGCTACGTACGGTGTGAAAGAAGTTCAATGTACACACACACATACAAATCCGCGTTCTATTGTTTGGGCGAACAATGCAACGTGACGGACACAACGTGGCGAGGTGGTTTCTTCCAGCAGTGGATCGATACAAATCTGTGAATGATATTGCCATACTAATACTGTATTGTTAATATTATTTTAATGTACAGCGCTTTGGGGCCGTCCATAAATTACGTCACGCACGTGGGGGGCGGGGGGGTCAGACATTTGTGACGATGTGTGACGAGGGGGGGGGGTTTAGAAATTTGACGTCACATCAAAATGTGCAACTTTAAATAAATACAGACAACACGTTCTACTTAATTAAATAGACTTTTTAATAAATGTTTTCTCCTACAACATCAGAGTGCAGCGCCACATTAAATACTCACTACAATGATAGTTTAAAGCGATTTGAAGCATGTTTTATTTTCAAAATGGAAATATGGTTTTGGGGGGGGCAGAGCTTTGTGACGTCATATTTGAGTGGGGGGGGTCTGACTCTTTGTGACGCCGTGTGACGAGAGAGGGGGGGGTCAAACATCGTCCAAAATCCCGTGACGTCATTTATGGACGGCCCCTTTGTCAATACAATTGTCATGCGTTCACGATCTGTTACTGCCCATGTTTGTGTTTGGCGATGCTGCTGCTGCTGATGCGTTGGCAGTGATACACAATCGACAAAATAACTCAAATGTCTGCCGCAGCATTTGGTGACTAACATTGACACGTCGTGATTTTTATTGTTTCATTTTTATTAATTTCATTTTTTACCTACGTGACTTTACCGAAAGAACTAAGAGTATATAACATTGACATGTCGACTCAAAGATCGGTGGTCAAGAAAACATTTTGGGCAAATCTAATTCTCCAACTCTTGTCAATATCCACAAGCCCTACGTGCCATGCAAAATGTTCATAACTTACTTTTAAGCCAATATTATTGACGAAAGCGAGTGCTGCTGTTGTTGCTTTTATCGTCTAATGATCTACGATTGTTATCGCGTTGCAGCAGAAGTTGCTGACGTGGGAGAAATGTGAAACAGATTCCGGGTGACGTCATTACCCTCGCCTGCTTTTGATAAATAAATAAACCAGGCTGCACACGCGTGACGTCACCCCCGGCCCCTTGTTATTCTTCAACGTCATCACGCACAAGGGTTCCGTCGTAAGCCACGCGACGCCTTGCATGTGACGTCATCGCGCGCAACGTAATGTCGGCAACAACGCGACGCCTTGCACGTGACGTCATCGCGCGCAACGTATTGTCGGCAACATCGCGACGCCTTGCACGTGACGTCATCGCGCGCAACGTAATGTCGGCAACAACGCGACGCCTTGCACGTGACGTCATCGCGCGCAACGTATTGTCGGCAACGCGACGCCTTGCACGTGACGTCATCGCGCGCAACGTAAAATCGGGAACGCGAACACCTTACGCGTGACGCCATCGCGCGCAAGGTTCAAGTTCATGTATTAGGTGTAGCCCTGTGAGCCATTCGGCTCTTGAATCGGGTGCAACCGCAACAAACAAAAACAACAACAACAACCACAAGACAACTTAGATTAAGGCCATCAGTCTAACTCCGTACTACAACAAACAAACATGGCTAAACCAATACACTTTTCGAAATCACCAAAATAAAGTCATGAAAGCAATGAAACAGTGATCATAGCAACTGTGACGGAATTTTCACAATAAATGGCATATAAACAACATGTCGGCAACGACGTCACGACGCCTTGCACGTGACGTCATCGCACGCAAAGTAAAATCGTGAACGCGAATATCTTGCGCGTGACGTCATCGCGCGCAAGGTAATGTCGGCAACGACGCGACGCCGTGCGCGTGACGTCATCGCGCGCAACGTAATGTCGGCAACGTCGCGACGCCGTGCGCGTGACGTCATCGCGCGCAACGTAATGTCGGCAACGACGCGACGCCTTGCGCGTGACGTCATCGCGCAACCCACACGTCGTAAACCGACGTGACGTCACCGCGCACGCAGTGACGTCATTACGCGCGAGCAGCCCTTCCACCCCCCCCCTCCACGCCACTCGTCAAAGCCTCGCCAGTAGCAGCAGCAGCAGCGTTGTCGCTGCCGCAACCTTTTGTGCGCCTCGCGTCTTCGCGGCGATGTCGGCGGATAAAGAGAAAAAGAGGTGAGGGCCCGGCTGACGACGACGCGGTGGCTTGGGGAGGAGGCGGGCGGCGGGCCCCCCAAACCCCCCACACCTCAGCGAGAGTCGAACTTTAACGCGGTGAAGCCGCCGCGGCCCGACGAGTCGTGGGGGGCCTTCTTGTGGAAGTGGTTAGCCCGGCAGCTTCGTCGAGAGTCGTAGATCGTCACCCCCCCATCCCCCCCCCCCCGCGGAGTTTGTTGGATGTGGCGAGGGGAGCTGCGAGCTCGCAGCGCGAACGTCAATCGGAAACGGCTGCCCCCCCGCTGCCCCCCTTTCTCGCGCATGTTGAACGTCGATTCGTTGAGAGAGTTTTTTGGCTGTCGCTGTGGCGGCGTGGCGCGTCCGGTGGGGGGGGGGGGGTCGGGTGTGGGGGGGGGGGTCGAGTGGGGGTCGGATGTGGGGGGGGGGGTCGGATGGGGGGTTCTGGATGGGGGGTCAGATGTGGGGGGGGTCTGGTGGGGGGGTCGGATGTGGGGGGGGGTCTGGGGGGGGGGTGGTCGGATTGGGGGGGGGGTCTGATGGAGGGGTCGGATGAGGGGGTCGGATTGGGGGGGGGTCTGGATGGGGGGGAGTGGTCGGATGGGGGGGTCTGGTGGGGGGGTCGGATGAGGGGGTCGGATGTGGGGGGGGTCTGGGGGGGGGTGGTCGGATTGGGGGGGGGGGTCTGATGGAGGGGTCGGATGAGGGGGTCGGATTGGGGGGGGGGTCGGATGGGGGGGGGGGGGTCTCCTACCACTCGCCCGAGCCGCCCACGGGGAGGAAATGTGAAGAAAGGGGGGGCCCGACGAATTTACCCTCAAAAGTTGTGCGATTTAACGCGGCTCCTCGGTCGCGGGTCGAATCTGCGATGTGTTAAAGTCCAGGGGAGAGGGGGTGGTGGTGGTGGGGGGGGCGGAAAGGATCGATAGTTATCGGAGAGGAACTATGGAGAAGATCTCCCGTCCCCCCCTCTCTCTCTGTCAAGAGTTGCCTCACAAACGCGTCGCCATTTTGTACTGTACAGTGCGTGGTGGTGCTGCTGCTGTTGTTGTTGTTGCCACAGTGGTTGTTTGTTGGTGGTGGTGTGTGATGGGCACGTGAGAGGCCGCAGCCTCGAGTCTATCTCCAGGCGCGGCAGTTGATATCAAAGCCACATTTATTCGTCAATTCCCACCCCCCCCACCTGCCTCGTTATCTGTACGTGGGGCACGCGTGCAGGCGATCGATAGGGCAGGTGGCTTCTTCTAGCGGAATAAAAGTGTGTGGGTCACTCGCACCGCTCCACAATACAGCCGTGGCAGACGTTGGAAAAGTAGGCCAAATACTCTCCTCCCAGAGGGCCCTTGTGGTTTGCTGGCAAGTGGCGTGTGAGGAAGCAGTTGCAGGAGTGTTGCCCTCCACGCAGTGTATCATCCATAGCTCGCAGTCCCACCACAGTCCACGTGTGCGTGTGTGTACACAGGTTAGTAGTGGCAAGCAACACCAACAATATGATCCCGATTCCCGGTCACGGTTAAGAGTGAGCGAGTGATTTCTGAATCGATTGTGATCGAAGGCCACCATCACCGTCACAAACCCCGCATTGGCCAGCGTGGTTTTGTGTGGTCAAACAACCCCGATGATCGACAACATTCATCCGTCAGTGGATACACAACCGGCTGTTTATTGTTGGTGTTATTATTAATAGACTGTGTGTGTGTAAAGGTGGAGCGGTGGTGCTGTAATGTGGGTCCCGTAGTGCGCCATGAAGCCGGACTGACTCGAGTTTGATTCCTGGCCAGGGTCGAGATGAGTGACCGGTGGTGATGGCCTCGGCCAGTCAGTCCTGGCGGCTCCAAAAGCTTTGATTCGGGCCTCGATTGTGTGTAAAACAACAGTAAGGGAAACAAAGACGGATGGGTTTTTGTGTGGCTTCACCCCATCGCGCACCGTGCTGGCTTCAATAGGTGTTATTTCTAGATTTGAAGCTTTCGTGACTGCAAGGATTCATACGCTTAGGTTTTTTCGGTAAAATCACGTAAGTAAAACATAGAAATAATGATGGAAATAAAATAATAATAAATGGAAATAAATTAATAAACAATATTAATATAAATAATAATAATAAATGAAAATGGATCAATTTATTTATAAAAAATATAAATAATGATAGAAATAAAATCATAAATGAAAATAAATCAATTATAAGATGAATCAATTGATTTCTTTTCATTTCTACACTATGGGGACCTCATTTGCCAGTAAAAATATGATAATTGGTTCTTTACCCTTCTATCTGGCAACAAAAAAGGTGTCAGTTTTGTTGCCAGATAGAAGGGTAAAGAACCAATTATCTTCTTTTCATTTGTTATTTTATTTCTGTCATAAATCAATTGATTTATTTTCATTTATTATTTTATTTCCATCATTATTTTTTTACCTACGTGACTTTACCGAAAAAACCTAAGAGCTTCAATAGGTGCTCGCAAACAGCGCTCGCTCACTTTGGTACATGTCTCTAAACTGGGATCTTGGCCTTTATATTATTGTCTTCTTACCTGGGAAATGTATAAATCGGGTACCGTGGCATATACATGGCGTGCGGGGTGGCCTTTATTCGGCGGTTAACTGAGAATGAGCTTGGCATTATTTTCGATTATTAAGAGCCCACATTCTTGGTTCTTTCGGTAAAGTCACTTAGAAGGGAAACAATAAAATAAGAAAAATATAGAAAGAACCAGGAATATGAATCCCTGCAGTCACGAAAGCTTTAAATCAAAATATTAAGAGCCCGTTGAGACCAAACGGTCCGAGGGGTAGATTAGGCATGAAAATCAGTCATTAATGTTGTCTATCAGTCAACATAGGTTAACGATTAATGGTTTTGTTACTATTCAATTTGATCAGAATAGGTAATTAATGTACTGGGCTGCAGTAAATAATTGAATGAATGTAGTGTTTGGATTTTCTCGAATTATTCTGGTACACGTCTGACAGATGCAGTTGTCATGATGCAGCTTTACTTTGGGAGCAAATTAGCTATCGTCTGTATGAATTAAGACCTTAATCTGTCTGTCTCAAAAACCTCTAGGGTATCTCCCGACCAGTTCGAAAGCTGGAATTTAATTTTATCTTTTACATTTTAAGTGCCCCATACACATGTTTTTGTGCCTGGTGTCATTCAGAAAATGTTCAAAATATTAGATTGCGGTTTATTTTCGTTTAATAGAGCCTTAAACAGTAAATAAAATTAAAGTGAGAACCATTGTTCTCTCTGTGCTGAGGCAGGAAAAGCATTTTTTCCTGCCTCAGCAGCTCTACCGCTATATTTTTATATTTTTTCCTGCCTATTTACGTGGCTTTACCGAAAGACCCAACGAAAGCTTTAAGCCAAAAATGTACTTTGAACGTACATTTTTATGTTAATTTTGCTCTTACTGTCATGGCATGATACGTTTCCATTGGGCTCATATGGACTCATTTGAGACGAAGTATCCATTCAAATCTCTCAGAGGAGTGCGATCCTGGGTGTTCAGAGAAACAGCCCTCGGAAGCAGATATCAGTGGAGATACCTCCGTCCAATGGATCCTTTTAATTGTTGGAGCTGGAAATGCAGCCAAATTATGTACGCAACCAAATAAAAAGTGATTTTTTTTTCTGCGCATACATTGATAACCGGTATGAGATCATAAACTCCGCTACACTCTGAGAACCCAGTTGAATCACTTGGTTTTGAACCAAGGATCTCAGTGGTGCCAAGCTAGGCACTCTGACCACTGAACCACCACATCTAAGTGCGGTTTTTTTTGACAAAAAAAATATTTTGCTCAACGTTTATTCCAAATTGTCGTGGTACCACCTGTCATGATTCTGCATGCAACAATCCGCTTAGCACCTGCACAGCGTTCTGATTGCGGGACGTTCCATTCCTTGGCTGTCTAATTATCATTCCTTAGTAATGGCTGATAGCTTTATGGATACCTGCATACATACATGCACACTGTAATTAGCAAAAGCGGTGGGCTGCATCACATTATATCCCTGGATAATTAGTTTGTGGTGTAACCTAATTTAAGAGCTAACTTTCCAGTCGTCACACGAGTGCAAAATGTGGAGTGACTAAGCCACGTGATTTTGTCATGATGTAGTTGGGATTTAGCAGTTTTACTCTTAAATTTGGAGCCACGTGTAATTCTGGTAAATGGTCAGTTTGTGCCTTGATGGAGTCAGATTTGGTCTGGTACCCAATTAAAACACACTCTAACTTCCCTAGAGACTCCCTCCCACAACTCTCTTTAAATCTGTGTCCTCTCGGTCTCTGTCCGTCTCTCTTTTTGTCTGTTACGTTTAAAAAAACGTCTCCCTCTGTGTGTGTGTCTCATCTCTCTCTCTGGTTGTTTCCATGTCTGTCTCACTGTCTCCCTTCATTCCTCTCCATCTCCCTTTGTGTTTGTTTAACACATTCCTGCGGAGGGAGCTGGTAGGAACGTTGGGTTGCTCGGTCAATGGCCAGGGTCAACGGCGGCGTGGTGTATTCCGCAAATATGCCCGACTGTGAGGGCGGGCACAAGCCGGCGTGAGTAGGTTAAACGTTGAGTTTTATAAGGGCACCACGGGGTGACCAGCCCCTCCCCACCCAGCCCCACCCTCCCCACCCAGCCCCTCCCTACACGACGGACGGACACAATAATCCCCTGTGGGCTGGTGTAACCAGGAGGTTCCTATTAGTATTATGTTTCTCTCTTGCTCACTGTGTCTCTTCCCATTTTTTTCCATCTGTGTCTCTGTCCTTGTTACCGCTGTCTATTTGTCTGTGTCTGTCCTGCTATGTCTATATCGGTCTCCCTCTGCATCACTCTCTAAGCTCCATCTTTCCACAGTCCTCGGAGAGCCCCACTTGGTGTTGCGATGGCTCTGGTTTGAGCCAAACACGCACTGTTGGTAATAATCGGATATTATTACGTCTAATTTTTTTTTTTTAAATCCTTCATTGAGGAAGTAAAAGTAAATATTTCTTCTT